TCGTGAAATGGGTCTTTGTTTTCGTCTCGTCATAACGATCGTCATTCTGCCAGAAAATGTCAGGATTTCTCTGCAGAGCTCGACGTATCAAACTGAACTTTCTTGAACGCAGGCGAGCAGTTTCGACAAAGTTATGGCCAATCTCGTGAGCGATCACAGAAACAAAAGAGTTCCCATTTGGGTTGCCGTGTTTGTGACATACCTTGCAGCCAGGAAGCATTGCTTTTTTCGTCGAACTGGCCTCCCCACTGCAGAATATGCTGAGGCCACCCTTTCTCATCTCCTTGTAGGTATATCTGGCCCAGTCTATGTCTGCCGCGCATTGCTTACTTCTAATGCGCTCTACTGAGAAATATTCCGGACGCAAAGACAGTGTATAGTCTCTCAAAAGGCGAAGGGCCAGTTCCGAAGATTGATCATTGTCCAGAAACACTACTCCCCTCTCAACAAGAACGTCCTTTACATAACCTGTCTGATTAGTGACTTCAGCCAACTCCAGTCGATTTTCTCTCGTGTCGTCTCTTCCCTCCAGCATGATGATCCAGGTGTAAAAAGAAAAATAAGTCAGGTAAGGCGATGAAAAACGCTGCCTCTTCAGATATTGGGGATGTTTGTTGACGAGAGCTGCGAGTCTAGCGAAGAAGTTTTCTTTGAATGTTATGTGAGTTGGATGGTTAGCAATTTTCAGGAGAGCGTCCTGGATGACCTGGAGGTCGTCGCACACTTCATCACTGGACTCCATCGCCTCCCCCAGGTTGGTGCTGTACTGGGTTAAAATGGCGTCCAGCGCACCAATGTACTGCTGCGTAACCTTGTTCATGTCTTTACCCCAAAATATGACGAGTTTTCCAGATTTCCCGGATATAACTATATCGGCAATCCCATCTCCGTTGAAATCGGCAATGTCGGCGGAAAGCCTGTAACCCACTTTGTCCTGAATATCTGCGCTCCTGTCCAAAAGGCGGAGATCAGTCTCTGTCTTCGTGACAGTGTCAACAGTGAGAAGATTCACGCCGCTGCTAGCGAAATAACCACTGTAGAGAATTTTAAGATCGCCTTCGCCGCTCCAATCCACTACGCGGGGGAAGTGACCCCTTATCGTGCTATAATGCTTCTGGATAAGGACAGGCAACTCTTTGATTCTAGGAGATGCTGCCGTCCCCTCGTTGGGATAATAAGCAAACGGCTGTTTATTCGGTCCCACTATGACGTCATTCAACCCGTCCCCGTCCCAATCTGCCACGTCAAACCTGATTCCGCTTCCGCCCAACGTCCTGAGCAGCACGCGTGGTTCAGCAAATGCGGGTTCTGTTGTAGTTCCGATGTTGATTAAGAGAGAGAGGGGGGTGAGGGTACCATCCCACTCGGAGAGGAGCAGATCCTTCAGGCCGTCTCCGTTCATGTCTTTGAATGCTGGAGCACCACTCCAATATCCCATGTCAATTGTGGTTCCACCTGCTTTGGTCAATCTCCGAGGAGCTGCAAACTGACCCTAAAACAAAATAGTAAATATTGCAAACGCATAACGTTATCATTAATGTGCACTTTGGCTCAGATACACTGATTTGTTTAAGTTGACAATTGAAGAAAGGTACTGTTTTTTATAAGAATTGTTCCAATACTCATTACTGAACACTGAGAATACTTTTTAAACGTGACTAGAGGCGAAGAGAATAGAAGCACCTATTTCAGGTATTTGTCAAAGTTTCTGTAGACCGTTATCCCTGTTTATTCATTTCACGTACCTTTTCTGCGTCTCCAATATTTTCCAGCAGATACACATATCCCCCATTACCAGCCAAGATGTCCGTGTCACAGTCGTCATCAAAATCTGTGGCCACAGCCCACGTCTCCCCCCTGGGGCCTAGCACCACTGTCTGCCCGCCGTCGTCTTTGACCATAGTAAAACTAGCTGGGTCAAATGTACTTCGGTTTGGAGCAGGGGCAGGGAGACAGTGACTGAAACAACGTTAATTAGGTGTTTAGGTATTGGATTCACTGATATCAGTGGCTCCTAAAATAGTTTACGAAAGTACACTGTGAGCCACTGAACATTATTGTAATGCAGACTACTAGCAAACTCTGGGGTCACAGGGTAGGGTTGACAGTCGTGTTAGAAAAAATGTGCAAAATTTCTGATGCATCTGCACATGTCACTATATGTATATTATGTCCCACTGGCTATCCAAATGCATACAGCATGCCAATCTGCCAAGGTCGCAATGAAAATCACCCAAGATGGCTTAGAACGAGGATGTCGGCACTGTGTGACGTCATACGCAACTGGAAAACGTGCCAGAATCTGCGTTCGGGGGGGGGGGGGGGGGGGCTTTTCACAGGGGGGGGGGGGG